TGACTATTTGAGAGAAACACTATTAAATGGTAGCTCCAAGATCTAAATTTTAAAAAAATCCAAATTTTTTAAGTTAGGAGAACAAATTGTAAGATACAGCTAATAAATTAATATTAAATTTTACTTGTAAAATTGATGTATCAAAATGAAAGCCAAGGCTCTTTATTAGAATCAGGCTGCATAAGAGTATTAAACTCACTTTGTACTTAAATTCACATCAAGGATGATTGATGATAGAAGAAATATGTTTTGTGACTGTACTTTTATTTGCTGACACTACAAAAAATAATTCTCTACAGAGAATGAATTCATAATGGAAAAATACAGAAGCATCTAAATTGAGGGTACACTATACCGAGAGCAAAACAAACTCAGAAAATGTTAGAGTGAAAAGCAAGCTCATTTGCTAATTATTGTATTGTGATCTTTGCATTTATTTCATCTATCAAGAAGTTTTATTTTTAATTTCTGTCTTCTGTGGCTGAAATGAGGTTTTAAAAAAATCTTATTTTTCACATTTGTCTTCACAGCAATTGATGATTTAGATTACTTAACTGGAACTATTCTGGGAAAAAAACATTCTGCATTAAGTGATACAATGTGTCATAAAATGACATGGACTCAGTGTTCCTTCAGTTGGATCATTCAGTACTTAAAGGCTACTTTCGTTTGGTAACTTGGGGGCACAGACAACAAGGACATTTAGTTAATGATTGTGCATCATTATAGAGGGCAATTTAGAAGTATCTACAGAGCCAAGCCCTCCTACAAAGTTGTCATAGTAAAATCTAGTCATCCCTAGATTATACTTAGAGGACTACCATAGTCCTCTAAACTATACCACATGGTTTTTCACAGTTGTCTATTAAGATAGTGGATTAATCATTAATCTCACCAACTTCCAACTGTAATTACGGTAATTTCTACACAAATAAACATATTATTTTCTGTTAGTATTATATGTTTTAATAATATGCTCCTAGAGTTCTTAAATTTCTATATCGCCCTCTCCTCTACTCTTCACTTATTTTCTTTTATTCATGGAGTACTCCTTGCCTCATTCCATTTCATTCTAGCTCTCTCTCAGGGAGCAAATGCCTCAACTCTTCTCCCTCTTCATCTAAATGATGTTGCAACCATAAAACCTTCCTAATTAATTGAAAGTTTAACTTTACACGGGTTTTGAACTGTCTAAATATAATTTCAAGACTTCTTCCTATCTCAATTCTCATTTTTAAAATCTCATTGTCCATTTGGTTGGTTGTCAGTAAAGAGTTGCCTGTATCGGTGTCTCCATTTGTCATTATCTAGTCACTGAAATACCACAAATTCCACTGAAGCAATTCACACTTTTCAGTCCTTGTCCTACTAGAAATTTTTGTAGCATCTGAAATAATTGACCACTCTTGGCTTATGAAATATTCTTTCTTCGGTTTCTTTAATACTGCTCACTCAGTTTTTCTTCTGCTTCTCCGGACTGTGTTTTGAACCCCCTCGTCAAACTCACCTCATAATTCTTCCTTCAAATGCCGATTTTCCTCACTAGGTCTCTTGGTGACTCTCCGTTTTTTATTATATATATACTTTTCATAGGTGAATTCATTTAATGCCTCGGCTGCAATTACCATCTCTAAATTTATGATTCTCAAATAGCCTTCGGCTATTTCCTCCAGAGTTTCAGATCCCTATAATCAACTGCCTTCTGAACATCTTCCCTTGTATGTCTGATAGAGTCCAAATGTAATACATCTAAAATTGAAGTCATTATTTCCATAATTTCTTCTTCTATATCCCAGTGACTGGTGCCACTGCAGTGGCAAATGTTGTTGGATACCTATCCAAAATCCATCCTTGACATTTTCTCCTTCCCCCACCACACCCAAAAGAAAACCCAATTTGTTACAGATTTCTACCCTCCTGATGTATCCTGCTTGGTTGAAAGTACTTTAAACCAGTGATGTCAGAATCATTTCTCTTGCCAGTAAGCAGGTTTGCACGTGCATGTGATACAATTCTGGCGAAGGAGACATGAGCAGAAGTTGGCTGGAAGGCTATGGTGAAAGGTCTTGCCCTAAATAAAAGATACAGGAAGAATTTGTTCCGTGGTTGCCCTTCAATGTTGTTGGGCTTGGATTGACACCTGAAACTGCTGTTGGCTTCATGTGTTTTCAGGAGTTTACCTAACAAAAAAGAACATGATACGATGTACACTGGAATCCGAAGAATGGTGGAGAAGCAGAACTAGAGTCCCGTTCCTCAAGCCACTCTTCTTTTGAATGATGTTTGAAATCAGTAGCTCTCAAACTAAGCATGCATCTGACTCACTCACTCTAAAAGGCCTCTTAGCATGTTCTCAGTTCTACCCCTACAGGTTTTCATTCAGTGGCTCTAGAGTAGGGCCAAAAAACTTACTCCCAGGTGATGTTGTGCTGCTCAGCTATGGGACACACTTTGAGAACCACTGGTGTAAATAATTGACCTACGATTTCCTTACTACTTGCAGCCAAAAGCATTTTAATGGATGTCATTGTCAAAACCAGAATCTCATCCTAAGCTCTCTCTTCTTTGCCCCACACACAAATCTATTGTGAAGTGTCATTCATTCTACCTTCTAAATATATTTCTCATTTGTAGGCCTTTTCTATAGTGAATATCAGATTCTAGTTCAAGCCACCATCATCCCTCCCTTGGATTACTGCAACAATTCAAGTTGATGTCTACTCTCAGGCTCATTTCCTCAGGCTGTTCTCCACATTGCCATCACATGAAGCTTTCAAAAATGTGAATTTGGCCATTTGTTATTTGCTTAAAACTTCGCCAGGGCTTTTCAAGCCTGCAAGAATATAGTACCAAGTCTGTACCTTCCTCCAGATGCTTCAGGCCCACTCCTGGTGACCACCTATCTCACACTTGCCTACTCCAGCCCTCCAGCTGTCCTCTACTTCCTTGATACTTGAGATCACTTTGTTCTCCACTCCTCTACCTCTTCTCATACGCTCTTTTGTGCTTCCCTAACCTACACTTTTATCTTTTGTTTGGATTACACTTACTTGTCTGGAATTGAAATTTTGGCCAGAGGCAGTGGCACACGCCTGTCATTCCAGCACTCTGGGAGTCCGAGGCAGGAGAATCACAAGGTCAAGATATCAAGACCATCCTGGTCAACATGGTGAAACCTCATCTGTACTAAAAATACAAAAATTAGCTGGGCGTGGTGGCACCTGTACTCCCAGCTACTCGGGAGGCTGAGGCAGGAGAATTACTTGAACCCGGAAGGTGGAGGTTGCAGTGAGCCGAGATCATGCCACTGCACTCTAGCCTGGTGACAGAGTAAGACTCTGCCTCAAAAAAAAAATTATTTGGATATCTATTCCTCAAGGAACTTTTCTCTGATCTCCCAAGTGTTGACTTGAGAACCCTCCTATGGGCTCTCCAAGAACATTTTTATTTCTCCTGCAGTAGTATTTATCTTACTGTACTGTAATTACCTCTCTGCTTGTCCATACATCTTGGGAGAATAGAGACCATATCTAGCTCAACCACCATGAGAATCTCACATCACATTTTTGTCATTATCGTCATCTTTTTTATCATCATCCCTCTCATCCTCCTCCTTCTCCTTTAGTAAGCAACCACTGAGGAGCTTACATGATTATTTTATTTGGCATTCTAACTACCATATTTTACATCTAAGTAAACTGAGGTTCAGAGGGACCAAGTAGTTTGTCCAGGGAGGTCGGCCCAAGGAGAAAGCAGGATTTGAACCAAGCATGTCTAATTCCGGAGTTCACTGTCCATTCCCCCTTCTTCTAACAACAGTGTAACAGCACCCGATTTTCCTCTATAAAACTACTACCTCCTCCGCCCAATCTCACTTTCCCTTTCCTGTTTTCACACCTCCTATCACCCCAGCCCAAATAGCCTCACGTCCATGCACTCAGAGGCCTGTGGGCAGAGGCTTAATTTCAGTTTGCTAGAGAGGTACAAAGCCTGTCGTTGATCCGAGTCTCAGCTCAGCCAGGCATCACTCTCACCATGCTCTGGATAATCCCTGTGCCATGATCCTGCTTTCTCACCACACAGGTAAGAACACACACATCAGAAAGAGAAGTTTCCTTCCAAGTATTAATAGGTATGCCACCAACCAAATTTAGACAACACTAGGTTCTAAGAATAAAAATAATGGTAAGTGTCCTTCTTAAGATCTATAAACTAACCAAGCTAGCAGAAAAAAGAAAAATTATTCTGAAATGTAAAACTAAAAATGCCACTGTTGGTAAATTATAAGTCGCACCTCCAGGCCACCCCGGACACATGCACATGCCTTTACTGCTGCATGAGTTACTTCCTTGTCTCCTGCTACATGACGAGGTCTTTGAACTCTTGAGCACAAGGACTGTTTTCACCCTTGCCTGTCAAGCATGGAGCACAATCCTGACATAACCAAGGTGCTTAACAAAAAAAAAAAAAAAAGAAAGAAAGAAAAAGAAATGAGGGCAGTTGTACATATTATCCAATGAAGAAACAACATACATTTCCATCAGAAGTTTTTCTCTTTTAGGAAGACAGTTTTAAAAGATATCTGGTGGAATAATTTTAAAACTAGACTTGAAACCACCTGACTAGATGCTATTGTTAGTATTTCAGAACTGAAAGGGAAAGGTTAGTTGTACCCTATTCTGTCATTTCTAGTGTTCTAAGGCAGAGAGCGTCACATAAACTGTCTCCTTGCCCCATATTCCAGCCAGATTTTCACCCTGCTACCATGCCTGGCCCTTCTTAGCCGGCAGTGGCACTCCACTATAATTCCATCAACTTCATTACTCTGGGGCAGCCAGTGTTCCGCCTCTCATTTTACATTCACAGGCATCTTAGCATGATTCAGTGTTTTCTAGGGACAAGGACACAAACCCCCACATATCATGTAGCAGAGGGGAGGGGCAAGGTAAAGAACAGACCCCAGTGCTGCCTGCCATCACTCACTCTTATTCTCCCTCCAGGCAGGGGCTGCCCTGGATAATCGGTGTGCGGTTGCCTGACAGCCCGCTGGAGCCATCTCTTCTTGAGCCTGATGAATTTTCTCCAGTCAGCACTGTGAAACTGTCAATGAGTAGACACAGAGCCTCAGAATTGAAGCTTCCTGAGAAGAGAACATCCTGAAGATTGTTTGAACTGGATTACTATTTTTTTTAATGCATGATGACTCAACCCTGTGTGTTCATTGCAAACACAAACAGGGTTGAATTTTAAGGGTGTGCCTGGTTAAACATCTTGTGCACAGCCTCTGTATTAAGACTAACACCTGGCTAGAAGCTGCAGTTTATTTTGTGTGGAGTGTTTAGTTTTCACATAGAATAGAATTGAGGGAAAAAAAGCAGTTAAATAAGGTAAACGGGTATTACATCAGGCATATCCTTATGTGTCATACATTTTTAACATACAGGACATTATGGAGACAATTAGCAAAACTTAAATGGGGTGTGAAGATTAGAGGGCAGTAATGTATCATTGTTAATATCTTGATTTTGACGGTTGTATTGTCGTTATTTTGGGCACATACCATATACAAAGGTCTATGGAGTACGGAAAAACAGTACCAGAATGACTCCAAGTTGCTTACCATGTAACAGAAAAGCTATCAGGTGCATGTAAAACATGAAGAAAAATATAATGCACACTGTCATAAGGGCCAAACACAAAACAAAAACTGTAGTTCTCAGCATTTTCCCCATCAATGACCACATTAATACTTACTCTTAAATACCTGGACTCAAGGGTGAGGCTCAAGTCACTGTGAGCCAGGTGTAATTTTGCTCCTTTCTCCTCTATTGAATGGACACTGAAAGGAGCAGGAGTAACATTTTCTAATATTAGTTTTGAGTTCATCATAATTTTATGTAAAAAGATAAATGTCTCACCATCTTGGGACGTCATCTCTACCTAATTCATCTCTAAGACAGTTTATTAAGTCTCAGTGTAACCCAACTTAATAAATTTCTAGTAGGGCTAATTTTTTAAATTGCATTTTAGGTTTTGGGGTACATGTGAAGGACATGCAAGATTGTTGCACAGGTACACACATGGCAGTGTGATTTGCTGCCTTCCTCCCCATGACCTATATCTCGCATTTCCACCCATGCTATCTCTCCCCAACTCTCCACCCCCACTGTCCCACCCCTATTTCCCCCCTGACAGCCCCTAGTGTGTGATGCTCCCCTCCCTGGGTCCCTGTGTTCTCATTGTCAACACCCACCTATGAGTGAGAACATGCGGTATTTGATTTTCTGTTCTTGTGTCAGTTTGCTGAGAATGATGGTTTCCAGGGCTAATTTTTAAATGGGGTAACAAGTACTGTCACTGCTGTCCTCCCACCCCCTCTGTTAAGAAGTATTTCCCGCCCACTGTATTCCAAAAAGCAACAGCTACAAACTGCCAGGGCAGCAATTTGGGAATCCTAATGTCTGCTAATTTCTCTGAGACTCATTCCATTTGTACCAATAGCACTGGGATAATAAATTCATGGAAAGTTCTCAAGTTCAATAATTATTCTTGTATCACTACAGAGGGTATAATTCTAGAAGGTGAAAGAAATATAGTTCCTCGAGATGCTACTAGGCTAATGGATGGAGATAATAAACACAGGTAAACTCCCAAATACATACATGTAAAACATTCATAAAGCAATTTATCTATGGCTAATGACAAGAACAAACTTTCCTCTCACCCACTACAATATTTGGAATTTCCCATCTCTTTCCTTCCTTCTCTACCGGCTTGGACCAGAATCTCTTCTCGTTCTCCCCCAACCTCACTCCTCTGCACAGCAAATCAATATCTTAGGGATCCAGTGTCTCTACTTTGTGGCGAGTGCAGGTTTCCTTGCATCCCTGAATCTATTTCCACACATATAAATCTGGAAAAACCAACCACCAAGGTTGGAGATGAACTTAATGTGATAATGCGTTTGAGGCACCCACGCTCAAAGACTGGTCCCAGCTCTCTTCTCTGCTTCTCTCAGCTCACGTCAGGTCTGAGAATGCAGTGGGAATGTATGAAAAATGGCACAGGAAATGGAAGAGAAGAAGAATGATAAAGGCCTTTCTCTTTCACCATGGTTTTGGCACTCCTAAACCCAGCTGATGTCTCCATCTTTTGCTCTCAGAGAGCAGAAAAAAGCCTCTACTTACCGTTCTCTGCTGAGTAGATGGGCATCAGGCTACCCATTCAAGCCCTTTTCAGTTCCTGCAATGCCAGAAAAATCAGGCTAACTCAACTTGGGCTGATATTGATCTTCTGGCTGAGGATCTACAGATCTCTGCATTAGAATCTTCTTAACATCCTCTGCATTTGATTCCTTACCTCTGCATTCTCCAGCACTGGCTTCCAAGCTGTGGTCCAGTGCAAAGAGGAAACTATTTTGCATTTCCTGTCCAGCCAACCGCAGAGCCTGGAACCCCTGACACCCATCCACCTGTCCACCTGCCCCATCCTCAGCTGCAGCTCAGCCCAGGTATATAGGCTTTGTACTGGGACTAAGAAGCGGTAAGATGGGATGATCAGGGATCCTTACAAACTCATCTGCAATCTCCCAGTAACTTTTAATTTTGAATCTCCTTTTCTTCATCCATCCACATTCACCAAACCCAAGCACTATTCATATGGCTTTCCAAAACTACTGAACCTTCCAAGTCCTTCTCACTCTTCACCTTTCCCATCACAAAAGATAAAAGAACCCTCTCTAGATGAAGGCAAGGAGAAAGACAGAGACAGAGAGGAGGTCGGAAAGAGGGCGAAAACTGAACGCTTGTGTGATACCAAACTGTGATGAGTCACAAATGTAACTCTCTCTCTCTCTCTCTCTCTCAGGTTCCACTAGCATCATCCTCAGATCTCCACATGAGCACATACCAGTGCAAGAATGTCCTGTTCCCAGAGGGCAGCAGCAAGGACTGAGTGCATAAATATCTGGAGTCATTTCCAAAGAAACAGGCTAAGAAGGGACTGATTAAGTAATCATTTTTGCATTCTTCAGAACTTTCCGATGTCACTTCAGGTACTCTTGAGTGAGGCTTATATACAGTTTTTTGAGACAGAAGATTCCTATAATCCAGTGGAATTTCTATTCAGCTATTTTAAAGACCTTAACTCAGATGTTTTGCACTATTTTAAGGCACTTCAAGGGTTGGGCTTGTTAGGTTAGAAAAGAAAATCCTCTGTAGGACTGTGTTTTGCTGGTACATCCCACAAAGCTTATCAATTCTTTCTTTTATTTGTCTTGTCCCTCTAGAAGAAATTTACAGCATTAATACAAAGTAGAGGATCCACCTGTATAACGCTATTTAAGGCACCTAACTTAAAGCCCATGTCCATGAACTCTGCTACTAACTCCGCTACTCACCAGGCAAATTTTAGGAAACATTGGTTTCATGAGGAGCATATTAGATGATACATAAAAGTTGGAAAAAATATGATAGGCAATATAAAGATAGGATGTTATATTTCAAGAACTTACTAAAAGAAAACCCTGTGAAAAGGAACACAAGACTGCTTTGTGCTTAGAGTTACCTATTTTCTCTAAAGACTATAAAAGATCTTTGCAGTGGGAAAGTCTCTGAATCTTAAATGTTTCTTTTAAAAGCAGGAAAGTTTCTTCTCCCGTCTGACGTCTGGATTATATCTGTAAATCATTCTAGCCCAGTAGGTGCTAGATTGTATGTTTGATTAATTGGCATAAATGTCCAACCTACAAATCGAAGTTTAAACTATTTTCTGAATAAATTGATCATTTAAAAAAACTATTTATTATTTAGATCTTATAAGATTTAATGTAACCAAAAGACTAACTGATTGGCTGACTGAAGGACCAACATCATGAATGTCGAGAGCCTAACTATATAATTTCAGCTAAAGGTAAATATGAAGAGGTGAACTCCATTTATTTTCTATTTTTTGTGCATAATTTCATACAGCTCAGTCTTTCAAGCCAATAAACTAATTCACAAGAGAATAAAGTTCTTACCCAAGAATACAGGACTTTGTGCATGTAAGCACACCATAACCACCTAAGCCTTACATTTAATGCAGTGTTTTTATACAATAATCCTAAAAGACATTATTAGAAAATCACCATATATTATCTTTTGCTCTACACCATCATTATTTCTTATGTGGTGCTGATTTTCTCAGCACTACCTACTGTAACTAATTTTCACAAAAAGAAAAGGTCAAATACCTTGGACTTTGTTTTGTTTTGTTTTGTTATTTTTGTTTGTTTGGCATTTGTCTAAGCATGGAAGACCAGTTTGTTCTAGTGGTACAAGGTAAATGAGTTGCCTAAAATGAAATTTATCTTCTTTCACGTTATCTTTGCAGACTGGCTAAGAAATTTTACAAATAATCTGCCAAGTCATAAGTCATTTGATTAGTGAAAGCCGGCATGGAAAGTAATGAAAATGCAGTATAAAAAAATTAAAGGCTGAGCTGATAGCACCAAGATGCTAAGCAAATATACATGAATACAAATCCCATGATCTTACCCTAAGGAATCTATTTGTCTTATTTTCTTCGAGCATCTAGCACAGTGTCTGAGCGTCGTAGTCGCTCAAAAAATATTTGTTTAATATATTCTGGTAAAGTAAATAGAAACATTTAGAGAAAATAACTAGGCCTGAGTGTGGATAAGGCAAATTTCTTGTTTATTGAGATCAAGTCTCACTCTGTCACCCAGGCTTGAGTTCAGTGTCGCAATCTCGGCTCACTGCAACCTCCGCCTCCTGGGTTCTAGTAATTCTCCTGCCTCAGTCCCTTGGGTAGCTGGGATTACAGGTGCATACCACCACTCCCAGCTAATTTTTGTATTTTTAGTAAAGACCAGGTTTTACTATGTTGGTCAGGCTGGTCTCAGACTCCTGACCTCACGATCCATCTGCCTTAGCCTCCCAAAGTGCTGGGCTTACAGGCGTGAGCCACCGCTCCCAGTCTTGTCTTTTCTTGAAGCCAGAAATGGTTTCTGTTCAGCAAATCCTCCACACCAGCAATTCTCTTACAGCAGATTTCCAAGTAACAAAGTTTTCTTAAGATGTTGTGTGGAGAAATTTGCTGTTCACAGTCGTTAGAAAGCATTTTGAGGAGGCAGACCACAGCTTCTTGAAAGGGATATGAAGTAACCTCGGTCCTGCACAACAGGCTCTTAACTGTACATAATTGCTACTTGCAAAAGGGTTTTTGGTGAAGAACAATTCTCCAAGGAAGAATAAAGTAAACGTGCAACCATTTTTGAATAACGAGTTCTTCTTCTATTCTGACAGTATTTATATAATGGACACTTCATAATACCTCTTTAATGCTTCACCATAAACACTAAAAAAATGAAACCTTAACTGCTTCTTTTTCTAGACAAAATGTAAAATTGAGAGTGGGAATTCAAACTAAACTGTAGGACTAATTCATCTAGTGACACTTTCTAAATTCTATAACTTTCTTCCCTTCTCCCCTAAAATGTGATAAACCATGAATAATTTTCAACCTGAACATAATGATAAGTTAACGGGGTGTGGTAGAGACGAATGATAAATTTGAATCAAGATTAAAATACAAACACAAGGTCTGGAAAGCATTGCTGTTGTCTTTCAATTTGTTGAAATGGATGGGTTGCGTATTGTGAAGCCAGGAAGGAACACAGCAAGCAATGTGATCACGATCCAGTTACAATCAGAACCTGGAAAAGCCAGGAGCCTTTGCCAGATAGGTAGAGGCAGTAAC